CTCCACATGCTACGCTCCTCAGCCCATCACAGTGAGGACCCAAGGATCACACGTGCCACCAACCCAAGTTTCACTTTCCTCTGATAACAACTCTTTTCTTCAATGTCCCTTTCCATTTTCTTCTCTCAAAACTTACTCGTCCTGGGTCTTACTCTCTTGAGACCCTTTGCAAAAGGCACAGCTGACTTTCTCATGAGCAAACCCTTGCTGAGACATAAATGGATGATAACAGATTGACATGGTGCCTTTCCCAAGAATGTTTGCATTTTAAACAAGGAACTCAACAATGCCTCATCCAAAAGAGTGAATCCCCAATGGTAAGAGCTTTGAGAGTTTTCAACCCACTGAGAGCTTGCTTCTCGGAAACGGGAGAGCAGATATTTGGGTCCGAGACAGCCTCAGAGTCCTCTGAGAGCGAGGAGGTAAGGACCACAAGGCCTACATGAACATGTCCTCTGACTACACATTAGCCATGCCAAAGGTCAAGAAAATAACCATTAAAGGAAGACAGTGTTTGTTGGGGTGCTTGCACATGGATGTGGGTGCACTCACATGCATGTGCAGCTGTCTGTGTGTGTGTGTTGGGGAGAACGGGATGTCAATTGGCTACTGCCCCCCAGCTTGATTCCAAGAGATAAAAAAATGACAGCTGTTTAGTTTATACAGCTAATTAACCCGAGGAATGCACTGTGCAAGACTGTTATTAAAGCAGCTGGGTAATTAAGTTTTTCCCCACCAAGGGATGGTGTGGAGGATGAATAAAGCATTTGGGGGAGCAGACACAACATTGGAGGAGACACTGTCAGGAGCAGAAATAGGGCTGGAAAGCTTCCAGGTGATGCCTGCTGGTTCCTGAGGAGCATGCACCAGCTCCGAGATGACCAAAGGGTAGGGCTCAGCCTCTGCCAGTGTTCACCTGAGAAAGACCATGGCAGACCCTCAAGGTCACACACAGCCCAGCCCTCTCCAAGAAACTGGTGGAGATATTAGAGCTGAACAGAGGTAAAGAGTTGAGAGGTAACTCAAGTCTTTCATTTCATAAAAGGGAAAATGGTGATCTAGGGAGAAGCCATGGCCTTTGTAAGGTCACATTTGTATTCTAAGTGTCAGAACCAGGACCAGAACTAGAGCATCTGCACCACTAGTCAGGCGACTTCGTGAACCATGACAGCCTCCACGTTCTCTGATAGTTCACTGCCAAGGCAGGTTGGTGGCGGGGAGCGGGATGGCCCAAGGACGGGTTGATTTAAACAGGCCTGTGAACGTGCATCCTGATCAGGGAAGAGATGCTCAAGGCGGTGATCCACAGATGGGGGGCGTTCCTGCCTGTAGACACAGGTTTTGGAGGAGGGTGGGAAAGGGGATGAAACATTCAGCATCTTCCAGACACCATGCCAGTGATCATGTAGCTCATTCTTTTAGACCAGCGGTCCCCAACCTTTTTGGCAGCAGGGACCAGTTTTGTGGAGGACAATTTCTCCACAGAAGGTGGGGGGTTGGGCAGGAGGCAGAGTTCAGGCAGTAAGGTGAGCAGAGCTTCGCTTGCTCACCCGCCACTTACCTCCTGCTGTGCGGCCCAGCTCCTAGCAGGCCACGGACCAGTACCAGTCCTCAGCTTGGGGGCTGGGGACGCCTGTTTTAGATGGTCCTCACAACTTATTGAAGTGGGTGCTATCATTACTCCGATTTTTCAAATGAGGCACTGAGGCTCAAGGAAAGCACAGAAGAGAATAAGGGTAGGGACACATCACGGACATGTTCATTCACGCTGGAGCTTTAGAGGACAACAGGACAGTGAGGTTACCCAGAGGTCATCTAGAAGCTGGAAGAAGAAGAGCAAGGGGACAGAATGGAACTGCAGCATCAGGCCATTTAGGTAATAAACTGCCTGGGCCCAAGCCCAGACAGCTAATGGGTAGTCGAGGTAGGAAGGCCTTGAAGGGGGAGGGAGGAGCACCACAAGGCAATGCTGGCCAAGTTCTATGTCTGTTGGAGAGGTTGCAATGTGGACCCCAAACCCATCAAAACTAGTCCTTAGGGCTAACAGGGTTTAGCCGCTGAGATAAAATTAGGCAGAGTAGGTAATGTGTCAACAGGCTAAAATGGCTCTGAATAAAAAGGAGACAAAATCTGAGATTGGGAGCTGGGACAGATGATTTTGGAACTGGAAAGGGTCCCAACGGCTCCTGCAACCCCATTCCACTGCGTTTCCCTGGGGCTGGGAGGTGGGGAGTGAGAATTACAGAATGTCCAAGGCCATAATCCCCATGGCACTTGCATCTGTGCCACGTCAGTAGGCCAGCAGCAGGTGCTGGGTGATCCTGTACTGAGCTCTGGACTTGAAATGTCACCCCCGTACAGAAATAGAACAGAGGCACTAACCAGAGCCTTTGACTTAAGGAAGGTGTGGGGGGGCCGGTTAGAGGGGGAGGGGGGAGGGGGAGATACTAGCAATGCAGCTCTGCATCACGCCACCCTCGTTTCCAGCAGCCTGGCCAGTACGCCTTCCCATCTCTAACTGCTCAGAAAACTCAGCACCTCTGTGTTCCCATCAGAAGTTTGGGGTCCCAGCACACACCCTCCCAATACTGCCCGGGGATTACAAGAGCCAGCTCATGGAGTATTGTGAAAATTAACTGTGATAATGTATATAAAACTCTTAGTAGGATGCTTTGGATTCATAACATGTGCTTAATAAATTACTGCTGCTATAATATTTAATAATAAAATAAACTTAAAAACTGAAATCAGAAATCAGCAGAGTTAAATCTGGTTTCCTAATTTTCATCACCAGCCACAGCTGCACCCTGTGAGGTTCCGGTCCTTCCATCCAAGGGAGTATCTGTGCCTTTAGTGTGTATGTTCACTGCTGGCAACCCATGGCCTCCAGATGAGGCAGGTAAGGGAGAGGGAAAGCAAAATCAGACTAGACAGAGAGGTGGGTAGGGGAGAGTAGCTGGTTCTCAGGAGTTAGCTCACTCCCAAAGAAAGTTAGAGCAAGGAGCAACTCTAAAGACCATTTCATCTAACACTCATGGAAAAGGAATTTGAGACTTAGAGATGGGCAATATCTGATCACACCACGAATGAGTGCCAGACCTGGAGTTACACCCTGCACTCAAGATGCGCTATCGTCTCCTTTTTCCAAGGAGGTCTACAGATTTATTCCCCCTTATAGAGAAAAAAAAAAAAGCCAATGCTTCTCAATTTCATAGCAATGAAATAGCTGAGATTTGTTTTGACTTCTCTTTTGCAAGCACTCTGCTTTGCTCCTGAGGGCTGACTTACAAGCAGGAAAGGCCATAGGCTTCCTGGAGCATCCGGGAGACGGAGAGGGCAGGCCAGGGTGAAGTCCAAAACCCCAGGCCCAGAGGAAGAGGCTGTCCAGACCAGGGCTGGGGCTGAGGGGACGGCCCAGCACAAGGGCCTCTGATCTCTCTTCGCTTCCTCTCCCAGAAGGTGGGTCAGTTTCAGGAAGACCTAAGTCCGAGGTCTCCCTGAAATTTTTAGACATGGCTCACTGACACGGGATTTTGAGAGTGTGTGGGAAGGGACAGCTAAAATCATTGTATTGCCTAGAAAAGTCCATACCACCAGGCTCTCTGATGCTTGTGGAGTAATGTGAGCCCCCAGGGAGGACTTGTCTGACACTGTGGCCATTTACCCAACACTGTCAAACGGGTCTTCCCATTTCCAAGTGGGCAAAATGCAGAAACCACAGCCATCTCTGCGCAGCACCTCCAAAGCCATAACCCAATACCATCTGTGATTAAAAGCTGCCAAAAGAACACTGGGGACAAGGACAGTGAGGCCCAGAGGCAGCATCAGATACATTACCGTGGTCCTGAGGACAAGGACAGTCTGGAAAGAGAAAACCACAAATAACCCAAGTCTCCTTTGTGGCAATCAGCCTCTCTCACTCCCTTGCTCTCTCTGCCTCTTTATTTATTTATTTATTTATTTATTTATTTATTTATTTATTTATTTTTCCCTTCAAAGCCTGCAGACACTCATGGAAAACCACACCCTCATCCATTCCCTCATCCAAACCTGTATTTTGAGGGCGGAAAAATGGTCCAATGAGCTAAGCAGCTGAGAAACAAGAAAACAATGATGTCAACCTTGGTGAACATGAGGAGCAAAGAAAGACCCCAACCTTGTTGAAAGGAAAAGAAAACTAAAGTTCCTACAAAAAAGCTCCAAAGGCAATGTAGAAAAAAAATCTAGACGAAAAATCACAACAGCTCCCTGAACACATCAGTGGCCGATGTTAACTGAAGGAGCGCCAAGTGTCAGAGTTCCTGGATTCGCTCAGCTCATTTTTGCACTTATCCGCCGAGTCCCTGAACCTCCTTACTAACCTCAGGTCACTTCATTTATTACACTGATCTGTGTCCTTTAACAAGTTTGAATGTTTCCCGCTTTGCCTGGGGTGATAAAACATGGAAATGAAGGAGACTGAGAGGTAAGAAAGGTCCATCTTCACGCATGGCAATTGCGAAGCATAAGAGGTAAGCTCCAGCCCATAATCATATATTCACCTGCTAGCTCTGCCCACACCCAAACCCCAGTGCTGGCCAAAGAGATGACGGCAATAGAGTGACTGTGGCAGCGCTCAGCTCACCCCCTGGCACGACACAACCCATCACACACCCCAGCAGCCTTGACTTTGTCCACCAAAGACCGCACATCAGACTGTACATACAAAAAGGATTAGTATTTATCTGATTGCTTATCTCCTGACTGTCCTGCCCATGCCCGAGGGCTGAGAAAGGACTCTAGTTTTATGGAACAGAAAAGAGTTATTCAGCTATTTCTGAGTACATTTTCTTTTGTCCATCCTTATGTTTGTCTTACACCATGCCCAGCCGCCCTCCAACAGTGCATGGAGCTGTGCCTCTACCAAGTACACTCTGAGTATTCAATGAACAATGGCAGGCTCACCCGTCCCACCCACCTCACCTTCCTCCAGCCCTGGAGGCCGTGGAGCTAGGGCCTACCTCGCCGTACTGGGTGCAGTAGGTCTCAGGCCTGGTCAGTCCACAGGTGGATGAAGCTCGGAGAAACCGGGTCCTCCCAATGAGCAGGTCCCCAACAGGGGGATAGCAGGCCCCACGGGAGCAGGCTTGCTGCGCATACAGGAAGCTGGGCAAGACTGAAATCACAGGGGTGCTTGGGTTCAGCCTACAGAGAAGAGGGCCCAGACGGCCGCCCCAGCCTCCCTCAGGGAAGCAGACGTTGGTCGACAAGACTAGACCCTCTCCTTCTCTCCTGCTCACTCTCACTGATGACGGTGATTATTGTAATCCTGAGGCTATTAGGTTAAAAAGCTGATTTCCTATTCTAAAACCCCAACCTTTTTTTTTTTAAAGGAGGAATAACAATGGCAACCAACATCCATGAATGATCCTGCAATGTGGCTTCCATATGTGGCTTTTGGAGACAAACTTCAGACACACGCTTGGCCACCAGACATGGTCCACAACTCTCCTCCCCGGCAGCGTGGCCTCTGTCCACAGCCCAGAGGAGGGCTAGCTGCTAGCCACTTGCGGAACAGTGGGAGAGGCCTGCATTCTTTCTGCTCGTTTATCTGCAAAGCGGGGTTTTGTGAGCACCCCACTACAATCCACTGGAAAATCAAGAACTCAAGCCATGATGGGCCTGGGACCAGCTTGAAAGTGAAAGGGTGGGAAAAACCAGGGCATTCAGGGAACCAGAAACCACCTCGGGTGGGAATAAGAAGACCCCTGGGAGCTCAAGAGAGGCAGAAAGCCATCCTCCCCAAAGGCCTGAAGGAGCAGAGAAACCTCATGGGTGTCCCCAGAAGACAAGTGTTCCAAACCCTAGGACTAAAGGATGACAGGTAATGCTCACACTTCGGTTAACTGTCCTCCTACCCATAGCTGCCACCTCTCTCCTATATGACAGGTCCTGGAAGGATGGAAAGGGAGACTCACCAAACCACAGGAGAAGGAGTGGATTCATCTTTAGCCAATGGGGTGATCCCCAGAGAGGACCTCACCTGGGACAAAACAAAGCAGCCTGGGTAAAACAGTACAAACCGCTAGGGCACACTAGACCCTTTTCTGTTTCTGACTCATGTTTTTTCAGAAGTCTTTACCTAGAGTCTTACCTAGGACAACTCTCAGCAGCAGGTGTATTTTGAGCCAAAAGCTTGGAAAATGACAGAACCCTGGACTACAGTCCCACCTGGCCCGTGACTCATAGGGGCACTGGGATAATGCTGTCCCCTCCCAGACTTTAGCTTCCTCCTCTGCAGTGGAAGGGCGGAGGATGGGCCAGCCCTGTCCCGAACAGTCATAAGACAACTTGAGGAGCAAGGCCCTTGGCAGGAGGGGAGCTGCAGAGAGGTCTGAGGCCTTGTCACTGCCCAGGGAAGAGGCCTGGCCTTTCCCAGCGCAGGGCCCAGCCCACAGGTCCAAAGGTGAGTGGGTCAAAGTGGCAGAAAGTCCGGAGGCGAGCCCTCTCCTTCCATGGGCACAGCCTCCGGTACCACCGAGGGCCACCTCGAGGGTAAGGCTGTGGTGGCCACAACTCTGGGCTAAGTAGGTGGCTGGAATGCGATGAGGAGGCCTGGCCATCTTTAAGAAGTGAGTGAGAATTTTATCTGAACTGGAAGCAACCCAAAATGCCTCTCAGGATGGGCTAGGCTGTGCAGGAGGGGTGAGGCTGGGAGGCCACAGAGCAGAGATTCTGCAGGAGACCAGGGATGGATGTTCAAAGGTCGGAGAGGCAGGCGGGCCTGCCCTGCGCATGCAGCGTCCCCCTCCGCCTGGGACTGGATGCTCGCTCTGTTCCAGTGCTCCAGTTTGGCTGGGGGAGGGGGAGGGGGATTGGCAAGGCAGGGCCAGAGAGGCTCTCCTGGCGTCTTTAAATTATACATCCTAATGCTTCGAAATCATTCCTTCCAGGTCCCAGAAGCATCAGGGGCCCAGAGAGGAGACAGGCGGCCCAAGAGGAAGGCCCATCTCCTGGTTTACCTGCGGCGCTATCTCTGCCCTCCCACCTCCAGAGCAAGGTGTCCTGAGCAGCCTTAGAGCTTCTGAGAGCTTCTGAGAGCTCGAGCCCTGCCAGCCCAGCCTGCCCTCCTCTCTGTGTGCTCAGCCCCGATCAGAACTTGCTTTTCTTCCAAGTCACTGAAACACTTACCAGACATGAAAAGGCAATTCAAACAGAGGCACACATTTAATATAGCCTTTGCAGGTGGCCCCTTCAGGTGAGCTCGCAGGAAGAAAAAGAATCGGGCCCTGCAACCAGGCCCCAGACACCCAGAGTATAGTGCCTTCTCCCCGCCCTGCCCCCACCAAGCAGGTGAAGGCAGATAACATACCTGGCTCCCTGCTGCCACGGTTCTCTCTCCAGATCGCCTGAGAGCACCCTTGAGTGAGGGGGGCTCCGCTCCTGGCTCCCAGTTTTTAAACAACGGCCTCACCTCTGGAGACTCCCTGGCTGGGCGCAGCCCACTGCAGGGCGGGTCTCAGGAATCTGGCAGCTGGCACGCCCATCTGCCGTCACTGCACCCCCACCGCCCCAGGACAGGACTGGGCAAGTGGGTTTGTCCCCGGGGCCTCACAGTGAGCTTGGCAGTGCCCACCTGCCTTTGGGTGCCTTGCGGGGTGGAGAGGAGCCCTGCAAACTGAAAGCACCAGGCAGACATTCGTGGTCATTCTGGACCAGGGTTCGGAGGGCAGGAAGGGCGCTGGCATTTGTGGCAGGCACTGTATGGGGCGTTTTCTCAAGGCTTGTAGGGCTCGGCTTCCTCTTGTGTCCCGGACCGCCTGGACAGAAGACAGCAGAGGACACGAAAATCAGGGCTTGCACATAGGGTGGTACAGCCCCCAGACCTGACCCCAGGCTGGAAGGTGGGAAGACCCAAACCTCCAGGACCCTGGAAAGCACCAGACCCTCTCCTTCCCCAAGGGAAACAGTAACAGTGGAAAATCCCTGCTTCCTGGGGAATTCAGAGGAGCCTTAAAAGGCTCATCAGGGAGGGGTCAAGCCCAACTCACTCCAGGAAAGCTTAAGAGGAATAAGGAATAAACTCTAAATACCTCCTCTCCAGCTCCCTCCCTGGGTTGGCAGGGAGCCCTAGGACAGGTAACTACCTGTGAGTCACTGCCCCCAGCTTAGGAGGGCTGGCCTCCTAGCCTCTCCCTGGCTGGGCAGGAATGCCCGCCTGGAGGCCCAGAAAACAGACTTGGCCTCAAGCGGTGGAAGGCAAGGCCGAGGCATACATAACTGGACTGACTTGGCCTGGCCCACCGCCAGGTCTAGGAACACAGCTTCCTTTGTGGGACCCTGGCCGGGCTCCTGGCTCAGGGCCACTGGACTGAAAGCCGCTGTAAATGACAGTAACAGGCCAGGTAGAGAGGCTGGTCTCAGAGGACACTCTCCCACCAGGTCAGGGTCAGAGGGCTTTAGAGAGATCTGGAAGGTCACCCAGTGCATATCTTGGCTCTGGACAGCCTGCACTGGCGTTGTTTGGGAACAGTATTGCCTCAAAGTTCCTATTTAAAGGAGACTCTCAATGAGCCATTCTGGCCTGTCAGTCTCTCCTAAGCAAGAAGCTCTCCCTACAATAGGAGGGTTAAGTCCAAGAAATCGGTTTGGGAACCCTCAGGAGAAAACGTAGCATCTTGTGGATTAAGCTGGACATTTCTAACCTTCGGTTTCTAATTTAGCCCCCAAAATTTAGATGGGCAGGAGAACCACTATACTTAGCAAATGGCCAACAAGTTGTTTAGACACATGATGGAAATTCCAATAAATGTTAGTGTCTTGGCCCCTGCGAGCATTCCAGTGAAATCTCGCTTGACTCAACAAGCGGCTTCCTTTCATGGGCCTTGAATCTGCAACAAGAACACAGGGGCTCTCTTCAAGTTCCCCAGAGAACAGTCCCTGTTGACACCCAAAGTTCTGAAGCCACCTCTCTGATCTCCTTCTTTCCACCTCTCTAACTCCCTCGGCTCAAGGTTCCCAGGACATTTGCACCCCCTGGAGCTGCCCATCCTCTGCCCACCATCAGGAAGGAGGATGTTCAAAGGACTCATTAATAGTTAACTCAGCAGAAGAGCAGGTGTTGCAACCTCAGATCCTCACCTTTAAATCCCCCTCCTACTCCCCCCTTAGGAGGCAGGAGCCCAGGTAAATAAGCCTTTAGTGTCTCAGACATCACAGGCTGGGGCAAGTCCAGGGCGTGGCTTGGCTTTGCAGGAAGAAAGAGGCAATTTCTCTGGGCCCCCCACGTGCTCCTGCCAAGTCCAGGATGTTATTTCTGCAGAACCCAAGAGTAGCCCAGTCAGCCTTACTCCTTAGGCACACTGAGCATGCCCCCAGGCAGACCTAGTGCCCCCCTGACTGCAAGGCCCCAGGCACGGGCTTTGAACTTCAGAGCCCAATTTGTTCAGACACAAGAAGCCTCAAACAGAGCCAGAGGCTGGGTCAGGACCCAGCCAGGGCTAAAGAGGAGGCAGGGGCGTGGCTCCAACACTGCAGCCTCTCTTGCAGCCCTCCCTGCCTCCCACTGTCCTGCCCCAGGTCCCTCAGTCCTCAGGGCCCACTTCCCATCCTTGGCTCCTTTGGACTTACCCCTCAGGAAAGTGGCTAGCCACTTGACTCCTGGTTCTCGCACTCCCACGTCAATCTATCAGGCATTTCCGAAGGCAGCCAGGACCACTTCTACCCTCCTGGCCCGAGCCTCTCTTCCCCAGGCTTCTGCAATGAGCTCTCTACCAGCCTGCAGTCCAGTCCCAAGACAACAGGTCACGGCCTCTTCTGCTCAGAACCCTGCACCTGCTCCCCATTGCAGGCAACGTCAAAGCCAAAGCCCTTACAGAGGCCCCACAGGATACGGCCCCTCATTACTTCTCAACAGCACCACGCTATCGCCCTTTCTCCTTCCATTCCAGACACATGTCCTCCTTGCTCTGCTTCTGAATTACCAGGCTGCTCCTGTCGCAGGCTGTTGGCCCAGCTGCTCTCTCCACCTGGGCCATTCTCTCTCCAGCGTCTGCAAGGCAAACTCTCTTACCGCTTTTAAGTCTTTGTTCAAATACTACCTCCTCCATAAGGCCGACTCTGAGCACTCTCTTTAAAATAACAAGCAAATCCAGGGGGTACAAGACTTATCAGTGGCACCGCTTTGTAAGTTATAGGAATGTCTAATCACTATGCTATACTCCCGAAACTAATATAATATTAAAAGACAACTGTAATTGAAAAACTTAAAAATAATAAAATAAACTAATAAAATGACAACTAAGCTCCCTGTCCCCCACCCCAGCTCTCCCAACGCCACCTATCTTACATTACTGATAGGCTGGAATTTGCGGGTTTGTTTTGGGCGGGTTGGTTTGGCGGGGGTGCGGGGGGTTTCAACACTTACCTCCTTCTAACTAACTATATCACGTATCTGTTTATCATATTTACTTTCTGTCTCCCTCTACCAGAATGTAATGCCCAAAAAGGCAGAGATTTTTGCCCAGGTTGTTCACTACTATTTTCCAACTACCTAGAAATAGTGCCTGGGGCACATAGTTGGTGCTCAGAATTTGTGGAATGAATGGATTCACACTGAAGTGCAAATCATTGATATAGGTCAGGAATTTTCAACTGGTGTGAATTTAAAAATTCACAAGAATTTTTAAAACAGGCAATACTTAACTTTAGTCAGGGGCACTGACCTCTTTTCCCTCAGGTTGTCAAAAAAAGGGGGGAAAAAGACAAAGCCAACACAGCAATAACCATCTGGTGTGAATGAATCAAAAGTATAGCTATTTTTTTGTCAGATCAGCAAAAAATATATTTTTTGGTGAGAGGCAGAATTTTAGCAATTAGTTTATGTGCCATGAGATGAAAAAGGCTGAAAATCATCAATGTAGCTTAACAAGTCTCCGTGCCCTTAGGGGCGCTGACACCCTCTGAGAGCACAGTCTGGGCCTTTAGTCACCACAGTGGAGAGCTAACAGCAGTAATTCATACATCAGTCAGCTGTGGGGGGCGGGGGTCCTCTCCTGAGGCTGTCTCCATGTCTGCCTACTTATCTGCCCGTCGCTGGCAGTGTCTCCATCTGCCAGACTTAAACTGTCCCAATTGCCAGCGAGATCAGCCAAGATCTGATCATTGAGCAGTCGAAGGACAAGGAGCAAGGAAAGGAGGAAAGGAGGAAGGAAAGGAGAAAAGTGGTTACGAGAGGTAAGAGAGCCTGGTCCAGGCTGTAAATGCTGACGCTCAGGTGTCAGAGGAAGGGGCACCAGGTGACTAAAGCTCAGGTATCTCCCGAATACAGTGAGTCATGGCTGAGTCCTCGTCTGCCGGACAGGGTGGGCTCCAGGAGTGGCCCTGGGATAGGCCACGTGACTCAAGTGGGTGTGGCCTCCCACTCCAGCACAGCTGCTCAAGTGCGCAGACAAACAGTCACTCTTCTGTGTGCCTGGCCAAGAACCAGAGAGAAAGTGGGTCTGTTACGTTACTGAGCAGGCGGGAACCAGCCTCGGGCAGAGGCCAGCAGCAAGCAGAGGTCAGTCTGCGCTGCCTGTCATGGGTTGACTCTATTCCATACCCTTCTCTCTAGACCCCCACTCTCACCTTCCCAGCCGACAGCCGTGTGCACTGGCCAGGGCCTGAGGTCAAGGGAGACCAGGTAGTCCGTCTAGATTAACTACAGCTAACATGTCCCCGAGTGCTGGCCATATGCCAGGCACTGTGCTAAACCCTTTGTATATATTAACTCATTTAACACCCACTATATCTCTGGGGGAGTAGACATTTAATTATCCTTCCTTTACAGACGGAGACCATGAGGCACATTTTCAATACCTTGGTTCCAGCTAGCAAGTGGTCATTTAAATCCAGACCAGTTTGTTCTGGCACTCATATTCTTAGCTGTAATTTAAGCCTAAAATTGCCTAAATCCTTGACTTCACCCTTAGGAACCTTTGACCAGAGTCTACCAGGCTCTGAACTTCATGTTTGTCAAACCTAATCAAGATCCAGTATTTAAAAATGTCTCTTTACACCCTTGCTCCAGCTCTTGAAGCACTGATGTTGACCGAGGGTTCCTGGAGAGACACTGTAGAAACACCTAGAACAGATGCCCTATTTTGTTTGCTCTCCACACTGACAGCCTCTCTTGTGTGGGCACAGGTGGAGGAGGTTCTGGCCTCCAGACCCCTCCTCTCCGAGGCTCTGGTATGCACCAGCAGCGCTCCCCTCACACCAATAGGAAGCTGCTCTGAGTGAGGACGTGAGAACCTAGAAGTAGTGAAAAGACGGGGAAGGTGAAACGTCACGGAGAGGTGACGAGATTACACCAAGGGCCTGATGACGGATGACACAACTTCCTTCTCACCCCAGGAGGGGAGACGCCATCCCCTGAGGTCAGGCTCCTGGGTCGCCCTGGAGGAGCCTCAGCTCCTTCTGTTCTATCTCCCAGGGTACACCCCCAAATGTCCTATCCCCTCCTTCTTGAGGGGTCCAGCCCAGGGCAGCCTGCAGCTCGGTGGAGTCAAATGCTGGCTGACTTCCCAGAGGAAAGGGAGGAATATCTTGGCATTTCTGCCACTGCCACTGCCTTACCCACTGCCCGACCTTCCGCTGGCAGATGGGCCAGTTCATGACCACACCCCCTCCTCCACCGCCAGTGCCCTCTACTGTCCAGCCAGTGCCCTCTGGGGTAGGTTCTGGGGACCTAAGTCAAACCTCTGGACCTTTGGCCACAGATTTGCCGTGTGGAACTGACCGCGTGGCCCTGGCCCAGCCTCACCTGAGAGGAGAGACACATAGAGCAGAAAGGGGCAACACGCAGCCACGTGGCAGGTCACAAGCGTCTGGGGAAGGGAGGCACAAAGGAAGAGCTGAGGGGGTCCAGGGGCATTTGCATCCTGAGATCTGCTCCCCAGGCTGCCAGAGGGCTGCCTGCGGGACTTTAAAATTCTAACTATGATCCCTCAAAGGACGACTAGAGAGGCAAACTAAATTTCCTAATATTCAAACAGGCAGTTGAGGACTAAATATGGAGAAATGAGCACCTGTGGTTTGGAGGTATGTCTGGTTTCACGTCTGGAATCAATACCACCGAAAGGCTTTTAACCAGCATGTCCCTGCAGTGCCTGTGGCCATACAGGGCCTGCTTGAACTTGAACTTGAACCTCTCTTAAATCCGAGACTTAGCTCAAACTCTGCCACTTGAAAGAAGCATAAACTTGGGCGAGCCCCTCTCTGGGCCTCAACCTCATCATTCATAAATAAAAATACTGGATTTTACTGGTTCTCTACCCAGGCTGCCCCTCAGAATTACTTACAGAACTTATAAAATTATACCCCTAAGGCCAGGCCTCAACCAGGGATTTAATTGGCTTGCAGAGGGGCAGGGAGATTTAATATGTTTTCCAAGCTCCCGAGAAGCCCCCTCCAGCTTTAAGATGCTGTTCTGAGGGGCCAGTGGTTTAGGACGGCAGTTAAAAGCCTAGACTTTAGAATGAGAGAGGTGAAGGTTCAAGTTTGGTTTGTACTCACCAGCTGTGACTTTGGACAATGAAAGCGACTTGCCACCAATGGGAACAGTTAACAGTCTACCTCAAGGGCTGTTGTAAGGATGAAAGGAAACAATGCATGTATAACTCTCAGCAAAGTGCCTGACGAGGTGAGTGTTCTATAATGGGCATTGGTCCCTATGCGTGCCTCACACGCAGGTGTTTCGGGCTATGATCAGCGGCCTTTACAGACATTGGTAACAAAAAGCAAATATTGGCTGTGCTGCTCCCTTCCTCCTTGCTCCTCCCTCCAGGGGCCCCAGGTCCCAACCTGAGAGTCTGTGCTTTGTACATTCCACTCCACTCTTCACTCTCTTCTGTAAGGGCTGCAAACTCTCCAGGGCCTATAACCTGGACCAGAAGGAAAAACAAAGTACTCAGGGGGCAAACCGAGCTGAGCTCTCCAAGAATGGCGATGCTTCTGACCATTCTAAATAGGGAAGGACAGAGGGTGGGAGTAGGGGTTGTTTACAAACAGAGGACAGAGGAGCAAGCATAAATGTGACATTGATTATGGCTTCAAGCATTAGTCATGCCAGAGTCCAACACCTGATTAAGATAGGAGTCTAGTCCTGGCTGGTGCGGCTCAGTGGATTGAGTGACGGCCTGCAAACCAAAGGGTCATGGGTTCGATTCCCATCAGGGCACAGGCCTGGGTTACAGGCCAGGTTCCCTGGTAGGGGGCGCGCGAGAGTAGGGGGCAACTACACATTGATGTTCCTCTTCCTCACTTTCTCCCTCCCTTCCTCTCTCTCTAAAAATAAATAAATAAAATCTTTAAAAAAGAAAGAAAGAAAGAAAGATAGGAGTCTAAGCTAGCCTGGACAGCAGGTTTGTTACTTAGCTCAAGGCAGTTGCCAAGCAAGTCTGAGGGCTATGGGGAAAGAGGCCCTATGGGAGCAGGACCTCTGCTTGCACAGACCAAAATCTCATCAGTCTTGTACCAGATGAGGGCGATGAGTCCTTCGCTCATCCAATTCCTTCCCCTTAAAGCATCATTCAAAACTGACTCCCTTCAGATCTAAAATACAGATAGAGAGGTTTTACTAACTTAGGGAAATGTTTATGAGATTATGATTAACTAGGGGAAAAATAAGAAAACAAATGTGCAAGAATCTACTTAACTCTTGAAAAAATACTCAGAAAGAAGACAGGGAGAAAAACATCCAATATGCTAACATTTTCCATCTCTTTATATTTCTCTGTATGCTCTCATTTTCCAGAATGAGAGTATTTTACTATATAGACTGACAAGTAAAAATATAGTAAAAAGTTTCAGGAAGGAGAGTGATTTTTGTCCACCTACAAGATAATTATTAACCCTTTCGCTCTTTGCTGCCGCCTTTGCCTGGAACGGCTCCCACTATCCCCACAGACTGAGAATTTGCTACAAGTTTCCAAGTCATTGTATATTTTGTAAGATATGGTTTCCCCTTCTTAAAAAGTCCAGTATTGCTTGTTGGGGCTATTAAATGTCTTTTGTCAAGAGAGCAGTTAGCACACTTTCTAAATAAATGTGTACATGAGTGTGAGAGAGGGCAGAAAACATCTAAGAAACAACCAGCACCTTTACCTTCCACCTTGCATGGCTTAGGGCAAACCAAAAAAAAATAAAAGAGTCAGTTTCACTTACCTATATTTTTCAAGGGAGAGAGGAACTGAGGACAGCTAAAAATTTTTATCCTTACCCAAATTTGCTTCTCCCATTCAACTGTCCCAGGATAATGCCACCTAATTATAAACTTTCTCTTTGCTTACTCAGAGATGTGTACACCCATCAGCTCAAGTGCAAATAAATATACATTGGTGTTCACGAATGTGAAGTTCCAGCTCAATCTCAGGTGGGCACTCTCTCCAACAAGAGACATAGCTCCTTGTAACTGCCAATATAAAATACATTAATCCCAGTTAAATTTGCATGTCAGATAAGCAAAGAATGTCTTGTTAGTATAAGAAGACCCCAAATATTGCATGGAGCATACTTTTACTAAAATAATATTCATTGTTTATCTGCTATTCTAATTTTACTGAGCTCCTTGTATTTTTTTTTTATTTGCTAAATATGGCAACCTCACTTGTAGTATATTGTTGACCCATTCTCACGGCTCCCAGACTTTTCCTAACCTAGTCATCTTCCTCTAGAAATTCCCCCATCTGCCAATAATCTTCCTAAAATATGATGCTTAGAAGTGAACACAGATATCTGGATGCCTGACATCACAGTGGCATCCTCTGGGCATGCGTCCCTTTATGAAAGGCCACTCCAGGTGAAGGACCAAGAGCCGAACTAACAGCCCAGAGCTGGGCCTAATCCTCCATCATCTGAAGGCTGCATGGGCTTGATAGGTTGTCCCGACTCCTTTGTTTAATTTCTACTCTAAAAATAAATAGCTATGTCTCACCCTGAAAGGACGGAGGGGAACAAAGTAGTTTTCCAGCCCTGGCTAGATATATGGCACCATTCTAAACCAATGTATTGACAGTGTCTCCTTTAAGCATCACAGCAGCCCTTTAAAGGTGCCTCCTTGAGGGAGATATTTTTCCCTTTTTTTAGTCTCAGCATGCATTAGTAAGTAGCCTGTACAAGGTTACGCAGTGCTAGAGACTGAAAATGCCCCCCAAAATTAATCTGTTGAAACCCCAATGTGATGATATTAGGAGGTAGGAGCTTGGACAATAATTAGGTTTAGATGACATCAGGTGGGGGAAGTCCCCATAATGGGACTGGTGTCCTCACAAGAAGGAAGAACCACCAGAGGACACAGTGAGAAGGAAGCCAGGCAGCAGGCTCTCCCCAGGAGCCCAACACCTTGATCATGGACACCCCAGCCTTCAGAACTATAAGAAATAAATGTTGCTTAAGCCACCCAGTCTGTGGTTATTTTGTTGTAGCAGCCTGAGTGATAAAGACACAGAACTAGTTAGTGTTTTAGTTGCATTAGGCTAGGCTACACTGCATTCATAAATTAACCACAAAATCTCAGCAGCTTAACACAACAGGCATTTATTTGTTGCTCACATAAAGTAAGATGCAGGACAGTAATGAGGGGAGAGGTCTGTTGTTTTACACACTCGGGGGCTTTTGCCACCTTGTGGCTGCACCAACCAGGACACATGGCCTCATGGTCATAGCCACAAGGTTAGGGGAGCATGAAGGCCTCTCCCGGGTGACTCCATGCCTCTGCCTGAATCTAGAGACGCAGTCACTCTGCTTACAACCTATGGGCCAGAACGACTCACAGGACTCCTAAGTGATTGTCCTATGTGCCCAGGAGAAGAAAATCAGGTAGAGCATCGTGAACACATAGCACTGTCTACCACAACTGGTATATGTGGTGAAAGCAGAATCCCACGGCTGAAAGCTTCCAAAGTCCATGCTCTTTCCACAACAACATGTGGCCTCCTGAGATTGGAGTAAATCTTGTGAGAGGATAATTTGTAGAATGTGACCTCAAAAAAAAAAAGTGGTAGGAAAAACGGCCATGGTGAATGGTTTAAATTTGCAAAACCCAAACATCACAAGATTGCCCCCCTGGAAAACATTAGAAGCATACTCAATGAGGTCTCTGCAAGTTATACCCAGAGGGTGAATATTTATGAGACACATGTGCCATTCCAGGGTTTAATTGGAATGTGCAAGAATCGGGGCAAATCTTCAAAGAACATATACCACTATGTTATAGAGTGACCAGCCATTCTAATCTGCTTACACAGGGCTCTCCTTGTATAAGCTCTGAAAGTTCCACATCCCAGGACATCCTTCCGTCCCTTCAGTGACAAAATGCTTGGTCAACCGGGTGTACAGTTTTTTCTCCCAGACAGTTTTCATAAGTGTCATCCCAAATGGCTCAGTAAACTCTGTGTGAAGACGCACAGCGATCTGAGAAAGTGAAGTCAGTTCTAAATCCAAGGAAAATCTGTGTGGAAACAGCACCTGAGAATAAAACTCTCCCACGGGAAAGAACTGGGAAAGCCCCTGTACGAATGTGGGCCCACCTTAGTAAGGCAGCCCTCTTCATGGACTTCAGGGAAGAAAATACTACGCCAGCAGGACTGTTGCGCTGGACACTCAACTCCTGCTGCTGCGACTGATGACAGCAAGCCTCTCCCGGCCAAATCACACCGCGGGCCCATCCTGAGCTTATAGACGCATTAACACCTCTGCCTTTTTTCAAGTCAAACACTGTTAAAACAGGCTACCCCTTCTTAAATGTGGGCTATTCCTAAGGCGGCAGGCACACGCACACGCACACTCAGGCACACGCATAGGAGCACCTCTGACTGTGTGCTTTCACCTATTACATTTTGTCTTGTTAGCTTTGGCCCACTGCTCCATTTGCGCAGTGGGCTCTGGAATGCACTCTGACCTGTACGCACTCCATTGCCTCCAGATTACAGTCCAGAGTCCACAGCCAGGTGCTCAGGGCCCTGCTGTAAAAAGCTGCATTTCTGGCCCCAACTCACACAGCCCCCTTCACGCTAGTGTCCCGATCAGGCTCTGCCATCCCTTTGGCCACGCCTGGGCTGGAGTTGTCCGGCTCTGTCTGCGCTGCCCTCTCCACCTCTGTGTCCTTAGCTCAACCCTAAATCCAAGACCTATTTCCATTCTCAGAGCCTGGGCTTTTCCTCATCATACTTCAGCAGACCCTTTTGATTTTTGATGCAGAAACAAAAAAACGTCCAGAACCATTCACTCACAAAATAAATATTTGTTGAGCACCCATTAGCTACCCAAGAAGAGGTACCTATTAGACAGCTTAATATGTAAGCCTAGAGCTCATGAGAGGGAAACAAACTTCAGAGATATTACGGTACAGAGCTGTCTAATATGGTAGCCACTAGCCATATTTATGGGGTCATGTAATTAAAATTTAGATTAATCAAAATTAAATAAAATTACAAATTCAGTTTATCAGTCACTTTAGCCACATTTCAGGTACTCAGTAGCCATATGTAACTAGCATATTGGGCAGTACAGATACAAAACATTTTCATCATTGATGAAATTTCCATAGGAAAGCACTGAGTCTCAAACCATGGAACTGCAGGAAACCATCTAGGAAGTGGTTCACAATTCTGGCTACACATTAAACCATCCCAGGAATTCAGAGTCGATTCATCTTGGGGAAGCTCCCAGGATATTTCTAATGTGGAGCCAGGGCCCAGAACCACTGACCTAAGAAAACAATGTAGGTGGAGGAGAGGGATCGTGGGAGGACCCCGGGGTACCCCAAAGTTAAGGGCAGTGATTCTCAACTTCGCCTGCACATTCAAATACCTTTAGAGTGTTAAATACCACTGACGTCTGCAGCCTAGTTGGAGGAATTTCTGATTTAGCTGCTCTTAGAATGTTACCTAATTTTCAGAAATTGAAAAAGCTCCCCAGTGATTCTGATGTGCATTCAAGGTTTAGAACCACTGATTGAAAGAGGGTAAGATGTGCCCTGACAGGTGTGGCTCAGTTGGTTGGGCAGTATCCCAAAAAGTGAAAGGTCGCCAGTTTGATTCCCAGTCAAGGCACATGCCTGGAGTGTGGGTTTGGTCCGTGGTCAGAGCGCATAAAAGGGGCAACCAATTGATGTTTCTCTCTCACATCGATGCTTCTCTCCCTGTCTTTCTCCTTCTCTTCCCCTCTCTCTAAAAATAAATAAATAAAATCCTATTTTTAAAAGTGTTTCTAGGATGCTAAAAGTTAGTTCATTCAATAAACAGCCTATGAGATTTTGGAGAGGGTAAGAATGGAAACTGTATGGCCGTGGGTAAAAGAGTAAGTGGTTGATGAAGAAACTAATACAGTGATTGTAGACAACTAATAAGAGAAGCAAAGAATCACACAAGAGCTAGATAGTGGTTTGGGGTCATGGACTAGATTTTTTAAGGTACCAGAATATGTTTGTATGCTGGTGGAATACTACAGTAAATAAGGAGAAAATAATTATTCAGGAAAGGTCAGAGATCTGAGAGGAAGCTCACTCCCTATCCAAAATCCAAACCATCCTTCCTCCTTCCTAAAGGTCCCCAGTGTTTTTTAAGCATTCAGGGTAGTTGTCCTTTCCCCAGCTCAGAGATTAGCCTAAACCAGCAGTTCTCAGACTTTCGCATGCACCAGAATTACTTCAGGGACTTTTTACATCAAAGACAGCCAGTCCTACATGCAGAACTTCTGACTCAATATGTCTGGGGTGGAGCTCAGGAATCTGTACTTCTCACAAGTTCTCAGACGATATTGCTGCTGATCTCCCCAGGGACAACCTTTGAGACCACTGGCAATGCTTCCCTTCATAAGGAGTCTTAGGGATGGGCATTCAGCCCAGTTCCAGCCAATGAAAGAAAGTCTCTAGGGGGAACCCAGGCAAGGAAGGGCTCTTTCTCAATAAAAGAGAAAGAACAGCCTCTCTCCTTTCACTGGATGTTGTCACATAGAATGCAATGCCTGGATCTATGGCAACTATCTAGGAACCATAATGTGAGCTAAACTATAACAAGTCTCCATGCTGAAGCTACAAGATGAAAACGGAGGAAAGAACCTGGGTTCTTGATAATGTTACCCTACTGAATTAATGGATCCTGAAATATCTAATGTTTAGTGAAATCATATTTTTCTTATTGTTTAACCATTTTGAATTAGATGTTCTTGCTTGTAGCCTAAAGCAACACGAGTTATTCATGGCCTCCCAAGACCTTAAGTAGATGAGTCAGGGTCAGATGGAGGGGCAGCTCTATACACAAAGAGCCAGAGATGCTTCCCCGCTTGTAATGTGACAGAAGGTGGAGCAGACAGATTTGGTGGATGGAAAATGAAGTAGCTCCTGTCTGATTCTTTCTATTTTACCAGGTGATGGGTGTCAGGGAAGAGGAGGATATAGCCTATTTGTGAACAAAAGTCTTTTTTGAGAGTAATAAAGATAATTGACTTGGGAAACATAGTAAGTTATAGCAGGCTGCCCATTTGAGAATCATGCTCTTAAATTTACAGAAAAGAAACGGTTGGTCCTGTTGGGTAATTTACTCCAACAATGACAAACTGCATGGGTGTAGATTGATACAGACAGCTGACTCCAACCATGTTTAAGCCTTTCTGGGTAAGTATGAAAGAAAGAGAAGAGGTCAAGGAAGTGCTTATGACACTGGACCATAGAACCTAAGCTAGGTTCTCCCCATCCTGGTTAGTCTTCCTGGTCTTTGTCAAGTTTTGAATGCATCTTATCCTGTAAACCCAGCAGAAGCTCCTAGTACACAGCTTATATTAGTTTTCAATTGCCACAAACTTAATAGCTTAAAACAAAATCCATTTATGAACTCACACTCTGTAGTCAGATGCCTGGCACAGCGACTCAGGGTCTAGTAAGAGCAGGTTCCTGGTGAGCTGCATTCTCTTCTGGATTGTGGGGTCTTCTTCCAAGCTGTGTAGTTGCAGAATAATTCAATTCCTTATTGATGTAGAAAGTAAATAAAATCAAAAGATACTTAAGAGGTAGAATAACAAGTCTTGGTGATTGTTTACATATGAAAGGCGACAGAAAGAGAGAGGAGTAAAGGATGGCTCCTGGGGTAGACAATAAAGCCTAAACTGAAGAAGATGGTGGTGAAAGTTTAAGGGGTAGAAATATTGAATTTGGCTTTAGACATGGTAAGTTTGCTACCTGCAGGACATCTAAGAGGAGAAGTAGCATGGACAGGGAGACAGCTCCCCCGTCTGCAGCTCCGCTTTGTATGTCACCTGCAGAGAGGCAGAAATGGAAGCCTTGCGAGTAAACTAGATCACCTAGAGAGAGCACGCAGAATAAGGAAAGAGGCCCCAGGACTGAGTCCTGAGAGGTGCGGGCATCTACAGGTTACAGAAAAAGCAAACATGAGACAAAGAACTGAGGGGTTTCCGGAATAAGGTACGAGGGTAGCTAGGAGGCTACAATATCATGGAAGCCAAGGAGAATGTGTTTCTAGAAGAAGGGAGTGGTCAACAGATCCTAGGTATGGCATATGCAGTTGGTCATTTATAGAATTGTTCAACCTCTGGCGCCTGCCTACCACGGCCTCATTTCCTGCCATTTCCAAAAACCCATCCTTTGTGCTCTAACACCAATCTTGCCTAACTTGGCCTGGGCCTTGCAATGCTTTCTCATGCAGCCTCCCCTTGACATACGCAGCCCTTTCGCATTCCACGCCTCCCCGGATCTGAAGCCCGACTCTATCCCAGAGCTACCCGGTGAACGCTCTCCATCCTTTAACACCCCAAGCTGCTCAGCCAGCCTCTCCTCTCAGGCCTTCTTTGACTACCTCCCTCCCAAAATGAATCGATGCATTTCTCATTCTATTCTGTTTGTTTACCTGGTCTATATCTCCATTACTGTGCTTCTCTTAGTATAATGTGGTAACTTCTTTAATGTCTGTGTCCTGTATTTGAATATGAGCTACTTCAGGCAAGGACAATTTTGTATTCTGCTTTCTATAACTATACTTGACACAGTATCGAATACACAGCTAGCTTCCACAAATGTTCTTGGACTTAACTGCTGCCTACATGCCACGTAGGGAATGTGAAAGCCCTGGGCTGGGATAAAGGACCATGGGAACTACTGACATGGAGCAGGAGGTAAAGACAACTGAATACTAGCAGAATAATAACTGAATCAATAACACGTACTGATTGCTTCATTTGTGCCAGACCAATAAGCCCTTTATAGCGCTCTAGTTCCTGCAGTCCTCCCCACACCCCTTTAAACAAGTGCTATTATCACTCTCACTTCACAGCTAGGGAAACGGAGGCTAGAGAAGTCACTGTTCCAAGGTCAGACCTTGGTAAGAGGGGCCCAGACTTAAATGAGCCCAAGTCTGCCTGACGCAAGATCCCTGTACTCTCAAGTCCAGCTAATATTTGAGCTTGGGGCAAGTCCTCTGTGCTGAACGCAATCTGTAAAGTGCAGTACAGTGGTTCAGAAGTGGTACGTGGGCACAGGGTGCTCATGGCTACCCAAGGCTCCCACCACATCCTGCGCGCACTGGCAGTAGGGGCTCTGCTGGGCCAGAAGCCATAAGGGACAAAAGCAAAATGTCTATAAAGGGCTTGTTCCTCAGAGTTGATCTGACAAGGCCCTAGTGTCCCAGGAGCATGTTGGAGGGGTGCCCGAGCGTGAGCCAATCGCTGCAACGTCACACACTAAGCTGGGAGTGCAAGTGAAAGGTGAGGAAGCCAGAGTGGAGGGAACTAAGCCAAGTTGCCAGGTCTTGGGCAATAACAACCCCAAGGACAAGCCACTATGCCCAAAATAACCTCCCAAGAGAGTTTTAACTGATCATTTTGCAGTCTCTATCCCAATACGGACTTGCAGGTCTGTGTAACTAGCATTGATTGGGCCCCTAATTTATGTTCCACAGAGACAGGGCAAGTCTACAGGAACGATGGAGAGCTATGTGACACAGTCCACAATGCAGCACCAACCTGAGCAGTACAAGCAGCAAAGGCAGCTGAAACTCATAGAAAGGAGTGGTCAGCATGTGCTGGCACGGGTGGGGGTGGCTTCCCGGAGCACAGGTAAATGAAGGAAGACAGAGTAGAAAGACAACAGCTCTTCAGATAGGGAGAAGAGTATGAGCAAAGGTGAAGCAGCAACAGTGTGAACAGATTACTTTTTTGGCTGTGAGAAACTTACTGAGGGAGCAAAGGGTTCTTGTCAGAGAAGAATGAGAGAGAAAAATAGGCGAGTAGGGAAGATCAGATGGTAGAGGTCCTGGACTCCATGAATATTAGTCAAGCAAATCCAACATGCAGACTCCAGGGATTCATCACGTGTGCGAGAAATCATCCCAGGCTTTAAACAGGCAATTAAGAATAAAAATGTAATTTAGAAAGATTTATTTCATAGTAGCATTTGAGATGGGTTAGAGAGGAGAGGACTAATAGCAAAAAACTGCCCTCCCCCGCAAAAATCCTTAATGATTCTTTGAACATCCACTAAAAGTCTTACTGCATGCAGACTTCATAAACATGGTCGTTCCCCAACCAGGCTTCACAATCCGGTGGGGAGGACATTCATTAATCCCATGGTTACCTATTAAGTGCCTACTATGCACCTAGGAATATCCTGGGCCCTGGGGACACAGAGGGAACTAAACAAAGTCCAGGCCCTCATGAAGCTTTCTGCAAAGGACACGGAAGACAACACAAAAAGCAAACCAATAAATATATCAATATAAACTCAGGTACTAAGTGCTATTAAGAAAAATGCCAGGCATTGGGTAGAGAAGAATGGGCTGAATTGGTCAGGGAAGGCCTCTCCAAGAAAATGCCACCATATTTCAAGCCCAGAGAACAAGTAAAATGGAAATGCTACTGCTACAAATAAGGATGTTGAGAAGGTAACTTAGTTTTAAGGGTACAGAGAGAATGTGGGGAGTCTTGTTGTATGTCAAGATTTATGAAAAAAGCAAGGCAACCACACAGAAAAGTCTAGACTCTAGGACGCTAATCTACAAGACCAGAGGACGATAAAGGTTAGTATGTAAATTTAATAAGCATCTATTGATATTTGTGTAATAAGAAACGTTCTCTCCAAAACAAATTTACATGAAATGAAAATAACTCAAGGACTGAAAAACGTTGGAGTTTTGTCACATCTCATGCGATGATCCACTCCCTACCTCGAGGAACCCCAGGGTGGGTAATGACTTCAGGAGGCAGCAAGCAGTTGGTTAACAAAATACTACCACCAGTAATTGAGGTTCATACACAACCAACCAGCCAAAAGACCTCTGTCCCCTGCTCCTTCAGTCTCCGAGGCACAGTTGTAGAGAGAGCGCTATCCTCTTCTGTACTTCCCCCTTGGACCATAAGTTGCCTTTGTTGATTGTTCCCTCTGCACATGGTTCTCGGTACTTTAATTTTTGGAAGAAAGGGATTTGGAAAATAAATTCTAAATTGGCTTTCTTTGTCTTCCTAGAAATGGCAAGGATTAACTCTTGGGGTAGAGTCTAGGGTGGGGTGACTAACTGTTCCAGTCTGCTGGGAATGGTCCCAGTTTCAGCCCAGTAAGTCACACATCCCAGGGAAATCTCTCAGTCTTGGGCAAAAACAGACGGTTGGTCACCACGGCTGCTCAGACCTTCCTAGCTATAACCTGTGTCTGACCTGTGTGATGCAACACAAGGCTTTACATCGCTAGTGACCTCAGTGCTTTAAAGCATGGGCTTAGTTTCCCAGGCCCTACCTAGTCCCCTACCTTAGGGGCCAGGCGCTCCTTCCCCACTCAGGCAGAGGGGCGGTGTCAGAAATTCCTAGGTAGGATGTGATCCTGGATTCCTCAGCCTTTTATTTCCTTCGTCTGCCACTCAACCCCAGCTACCACCTAAACCAGCGACGCCAACTCTACAGGCAACCCCGATCCATGCCACTTGCTGCCCTCTCTACCCAGCCCTGGCCAGCAAGCTGCTGGGGTCTGGGGATCAAAGTCAGATTCTCAAAGAGGGAAGGAAGGGAACTCTTCTGAGGTAGTGATGCGCTCTACCACTGCACCTCACAAGAAAGAGGAACCCCAGATAACTTGGAGTCTGCTGACCTCAAAAGATTGCGTCTTGGAGTTACAGAAACACAGGAAATTCTTTGACATGTTAATTTCAGAGTTTTGAGTTCAAAGCTGGGCTGACTCACCTTCAGAGCAGAAACGAGGTAAAAGCCCTGATACTAATGTTCTTCCAAAAGCCACAACGTTTGCCTCACTCGCAGGTCTTGGCAAAGCTCACAAATCATTTCTGCCAGTTATTAGAGACTTCTCCAAAATTATAAGGAAGATTCAAAGAAAATGTCGACTGATATTAATCTCTGCTTGGTCCTTTGTTATGCAATTTTCCTCCCTTACAAGGTTAAAAGAATAATAAGCAGGGGACACAATCCTCCAGGAATAATCCCTATTTGGCCCCTGGTAGCCTTGACTGCTTGTATACAGACAAAAATGTAGAATGTTAAATAAGCTATTTAGGTAACCTTGACCGATCTGTTTCCTGAACTATGAATAGCCAAGGCAAAGAATAGTTGTTATTGGTGCTTTTTTAAACTGAATTGTCAGGGAAATTGCCTCAGGTCCCTAAAGAAAGATGAAATTAAAATTTTTAGAGACTCAAGTTTTTGATCCCTGAAACAGCTCTTCCCCTATCCCTCCCCACCGGGCTCAGCCTGAATGATTGTGACAGGTTGTAGCAAGGTTGCATCACCGACCTTTGCAATTTTCTGGCCACTCTAATTTCTCCCTTCCTCCCCCTGCCCTCTCCCTTTCCCTTTTTAAAGCCCTTTGGCCTACCCGGTTCTCTTTTCCCTGACTTGCTAACTCTGATGCATGGAGAACCAAAGCTAAATCAGAACTCCCAGCCCTCCCCGCCCCCCAAACACACACAAGGCGATGATGTTTAATCCTAGTCACAATCAGGCCTACTATCCCCACACTTTCAAGAGTACTTTCTATTCTTTAACTTCTTACCCAAACTCTCTACTCTCACCCTTCTGCCTCTAAACTGTTTCTATGATTAGATGAGCGGGCACAGTGCAGTTGTACCCCCAGATTCAGGGAAGTGGCCAATAATTTTTGAAAACAGCATGAAATATTTATAGTCCAGTCCAGCAGACCTTTACCAACAGCTCCTCTTCCACCTTCGCCTCCCTTCAGCCGGTCCCCAACTTCACATCTGAAGGGGCAAAGGGCAATTTGGATTTCATGGCAGTTCCCTGATACACAGAAGTACATACACAAATGCCTGTAGGCAGAGAGACTGATATCATGTAAACACACACACACACACACACACACACACACACACACCTGTGCATAACCGGGCACCTGAGTAAATAGTTATCAGTGACCCTTACAATGCAAGCACCTGTGAATAAAACGAGTCTGGCAGGAAAGAAACTGTGTAAGCACACACTACACTGCCTTATGCAGAGCCTGGAGGCAGTTCTCTTCTTTACCTGGATCCCTCCCCCTTGCCTTCCTCCGCTATGGTCCTCACACCTGTGGGAAGATGACAACCCTCCTGAATAAAAACGAGTGATTTTTCCGTTAGGTAGGACCCCGATGTCCTCCTTAGGGGCCCTTCTCAGGCTGCCCAGAACGAGGGAAGCAGTGCACCGTCCCACACCGCGAAGAGACAGTTGCGTCGCAGAAGCACCAGAGGCTTCGCTGGGCTCGGCTCCTCACCGGTGCGCGCGCCCAAAACCGGACCTCCCACGTCCAGGTCTGCCCTCCCCGGCCGCAGCTCACACCGCCTCGGCGTGCACCGCTCGTGGCCGCCCCACCCCCTCACCCCCCTCCGCGTCCCTGCCCCGCTCCTCCCCCGTCTTCCCCCTTCTCCCTTCCCCCTTCCTCCCCAACCCCTCGCCCCTCCTCCGCCTCCCGCTGGCTCGCGCCGCGCTGGCCCCGGCCCAGGAGTCCCGGAGGCGGGTTTTCGAGAAAAGATATAAGCGGCCGCGGGCCGCTGATGGGGTGTCAGCTGCGGAGTCTCCATCTGGCAGAGCCGCGGCTGCCCAGGAGGAGGAGAACGCGGAGCCGGCCGGACCGACAGACGCGGCCCCCTTTCCCCAGCTCGCTCTGCCTCCTAGGAGCTCGCCGCGCGGTTCAGGTGAGCCCGGCTGGGAAGGCGCGGCGGGGTGCAGAGACCCCTCTGCGCAAGGCCCGCGGAGGCGCGCCGGGGCCGCTGGCGTCGCGTTTCAGTGCTAACGGTCCCCCTTCCTTCTCCGCTCCTCCCGCAGATCCCTCCCGCCCCCAGCAGCCCAGAGCCGGAATGGAAACGGTGCAGGAGCTGATTCCTCTAGTCAAGGAGATGATGGCCCAGAAGCCCAGCCGGAAGCTGGTGAAGCTGTACGTGGTGGGCGGCGTGCTGGCCCTGTTCGGCATGATGCTGGGCTTGGTGGAGACCGTGTGCAGCCCCTTCACGGCCGCCAGCCGCCTGCGCGACGAGGAGGCCGCCGTGGCCGCGCTGCGGGCTGTCCGGGAGCGCCAGGCCCTGCAGGCACGGTCCTTGCAGGAGAAGGACAAACAACAGGAGGGCATCCTCTGCAGCCGGCCCCTCGCCAACCGGCAGCACGCCTCCTAGAAACAGTGGGAGGCCAGCAGAGGTGGGGAGAGAGGAGAGAAAGAGAGAGAGCAAGAAAGGAAAAGAGAGAACCAGAGACTGAGTGATTCAAGTAGAGAGAGCAGGAGTCCTGTGCTGTTTGGACTTACCTCGGAGAAGCCACTGACTCTCAGAAATGAGCTAGCTCGCAGATCCACCAAAAGGAATCTGGGATGAGTTTGCTGCTGTGCAGCGATGCAGAAGGAGGACATGTTCAAAACTACGTATCTTTGAGCCCAGTGCATCTACCATTTGCACTACAGCAGAAGGAGGAGAAATGCTTTTTATATTATTGGTATTATTATTATTATTGTTTTTACAATGACCATCATTTTTAAATAAAAAACGTTTTGTACTATATCCCTGCCTCTGATTCCTGAGGGGCATGGTCCCCTGGGCTGGGCATGCTGGTGAGGGGAGTCGCCCCTGAGTGAGCCCTGCGGAGAGAGCAGCTTCCTGCAGGTCAGGAAACACTTTCTTCAGTGCTAGGGACTCTGATATTCATATTCCGTGCTTATAAGTCTGTTGAGAATTTGTTTTGGCTTCATGGGAAGGGTGGGAAAAGAACAACTTCTATGAGTCCCACCAGACTTAGCAACTTAGATCAGAAACTAAATCAACTTCTTAGCTACGGAACATGGATGAGAGGAAAATACATTTGTCATTTCACACCTGTGCACGAGAGGCTTCTGTGGCTGAAACTGCCTGCTTCCTAACAGTGTTCCAGCAAGAGACAGAGGGCGGGGAGGCGGGCAAGGGGAGGGAGGATGCCAGCCAGCTGGTAGGAAGGGAAGGAAGCCAAGCTCCCAGGAACCTCTAGTTGAACATCTAGTTCTACCCAGCCTTCCTCCTTATAAACTCAAATCACAGTAAGAGAAGCTCTTGGTTAGAAGGGAAAAAGACTGGTTGGCACAGACCTCAGTTCTCTTCCTCCAGGGGCAGAGTTTGCTTTGGTGCAATAAGTAATTCAGTGTCTCCATAGAGCCCATCAAAGGAAATTTTGAAAAATGGCTCCTAATGAGGTAGCTGGGGGCACGAGCCTGATGCCACTCTCCTTGCAATTTTAACAAGTCTCCTGCCTAAACAAATACAGACACTTCACTCTCCTCACCAGTAGCTGTGCGTTTTTGCCAAACTCACCAATGGCTTCTGCCATTGGCTCTGATCAGACTCTCTCTCCGCCACCTCCCCCACACCCTGCCATTATATTTCTGTCAGCTCAAAACTTACGCAGGGTCCCTGACTCTGATAAAATGTCACCTCTCCCTGCAATGTAGGTTATGACTCTAAACAGAAGAACAATCAGAATGGGGTGAGATTAATCCAAGGAAAACAGACACGTAAAGGAAGAGAAGAATATGGCATCACTGTTCTCCCTGTTTCCAAATTGGGAAGCTCAGCCCCGTATTAAGACATAGCCTCGCCTTAAATGTCCAAAAGCTTCTTAGGAATTCACCGAATCTTACTCTTCCAGTTGGTCTTCCCAGATGCCTCCCCTGTTACGTTCATGATTTCTCCTCCCATTTGGCCACCACCGTGGCGAGCTCTCCACGGCACACATCACCCCCCAGAACACTCACCCCAAACCAACCCACTGCCAGACTGTCCTCCCTCGACACCTTACATCCTGCTGCTCCTCCACTCAAGAAATGTCACAGACTAAACTCCCACGCCCCAGTGCGTCCATGATCTGTTTCCATCCCAGCCTTTCAATGGCTTCTCAGGCTGCCCGGCGTGCACCCTGATGCCTTCTTTGTGGTGTTTTGTATCTTTGTTTACATTACTCTTCCCACCTGAATGTGCTCCAACACACCATCACCACATCTTCTGAAGCCAACATCAAGTTCTCCAAGAGAGGATGATCTCAAATATTCTGCCTATTGCCAAACCATATATCAAATCATGTACTCCAATTTTTTGTTTAGAAGATAATGCCTATTTTGGGGGGATGCCTATGCATAAGGAAATATATGTTTTTACATATTTGCCTCAATATAGAAGTGATGCCTATATATGTTTAGTTTAAAAGCTATACCGCATGTCTATATATGTTCAAAATACCTAACCCAGTTAAGTCCAAGCTATTGAAATCTCTGCCCTCACTGATCTTCTCACTTCTCTGAATTCTTATAGATCATACAGTCTGAGTTTTGTACTGGGTCACTCAGAAATGAGGCTTTTTCTTTGGTGGTTTTATGGATTCCATCATATCTTTCAGAGTATAATCTTCTCAAGGTCAAGGACCATAGCTTCCTCTTCAGTGTTCATAGACATTACCAAGTTCTAGGCAAATAGTCGGTTCTTAATAAATACGTGATTGCTCAATTCATTGGTTATGAAGTTAGAGCAATGGTTCCCAAGAAGAGAGGAAGCAATTTTGTCACCCCAGGACACATGTGAAAATGTCTAGAGACATTTCTGGTTGTCTGGTAGGGAAGGAGGAGCAAGACTGGTAACATCTAGTGGTTAGAAGCCAAAGATGCTGTTAAACATCTTATACTACACAGGATAGCCACCCACAACAAAGAATTCTCCAGCCCAAAATGTCAATAGGACTGAGGCTGAGAAACCCTGGAAAGTAAGGGGAAAGGATTAGCTTAATAGTTTCAGAATCAAGGTTTTGAAGTAGTCTCCCAAGATTATGTCTGGTTGTGATCCGACATGATAAGACCCTCTTCCAATTCAGGCATAAAATTGGTCCGTGGCCCTCTCCTAGTTGATAATTTTATCAGCAATCTGGAAGTCACAGAAGGTACACTTCAATTCTGTTGGTGATGTAAAGCTGAATAGTAGAGTCAAGATTCAGAACAACTCAACAGGTTGGAACCATACAGTGAAGCTAACTGATTGAAATGAAGTAAGGAAAAAAGATAGGGCACAGAATTATGGTCCAAAAAAAAAATCAGATACATGGCCACAAATTATGAAAGCTTATTCTAGCAGCAGATCATATGAAAAAGACATAGGTACTTTCACCAATTACAGGTTCAATATAAGCCAACAAGGACTAGTGAAAGAGCTGCTAAAACAAAATAACACTTCACTGGTAAAACTGGAACATCCAGAAAGAGGGAAGAGAAGGTGGCTTTGTTTCACTTGGCCATCTGGCAGGAGAGAAACAAAAGAAGTTAAGTTCTACTGCCAGGATCAGGATTGTGGGCTTTGCATTCCAACTCCTTATTTGTGAGCTCTAAGCCCCCAGCAAGTAAGTTACTTACAAACCATCTGCCTCAAATTATACTTTTTCCCACCTATAAAATAATATTTCAAATTAAATGAGTTAGGTGCTTAGAGTGTACCTGGCATATACAGTTGACCCTTGAACAATATTAAGAGCACTGACTTCTGTTGCAGTCCAGAATCCAAGTATAATTTTTGACTTCCCCGAAACTACCGTCAGTATTCATGGAGGATTGATTCAATTCCCCTCCCCCACCTGGTGGGTTCCAAAACCTGTGGATATTTGAGCCCGCTATATAAAATAGCATAAATCAATGCATACAGTAGCCCTCCAGATCCATGGACTCCCAATCACAGATTGAAAATAGTACAAGTATTCATTTTTTAAAATATGTTATTTATTTATTTTTAGAGAGGGGAGAAGGGAAGAAGAAAGAGGAGAGAAACATTGATGTGTGAGAGAAACATCAATCAGTTGCCTCTCATGTGTCCCCAACCAAGCACCTGCCCCACACCCGAAAGATGTGCCCTGACCAGGAATCGAACTGGCGACCTTTTGGTTCACAAGCCAGTGCTCAATTCACTGAGCCACATCAGCCAAGGCAAAACAGTACAAGTGTTTATTGAAAAAGTTCTCGTACACATAGATCCATGCAGTTCTAAACCCATGTTGTTCAAGAGTCAACTGTAGTAAGCTTTCAGCCAATGACTGTCGTTGTTAGGATTTAAGAAAAAACTGTTTGATTAGAGTAACTTGGGCAGATAAAAATCAAGAAACCCTGCCACACATGGAAGTAAATGGATCACTAGAGAAGATACAGTAGCGCCACATAGCAATTGCCTCCAAATAGTTGGAGGGCTGCCATATTGATCCAATAAAGTATAATAAAATGGACTTATTTTATGTAGGTTGAAAGTAAAGAATTAGGACTGGCAAGCAGAGGATAAGGAAGCATATCTTAGGTCATTTAGAAATGAGAGTGTTTTGCCCTGACTGGTGTGGCTCAATGGACTGAGTGCTGGCCTGGGAACCTAAAGGTCACCTGTTTGATTCCCAGTCAAGGCACATGCCTGTGTTGCGGGCCACATCCCCAGCCGGGGGCATGTGAGAGGGCAACCAATTGATGTTCTCTCACACATCAATGTTTCTCTCCCTCTCTTTCTCCCTCCCTTCCCCTTCTCTAAAATAAATAAAGAAAAAGAAAACGGAAAAAAAGAAACCAGAGTGTTTCAAAACATAATGAGTTGTCTTTTGACATTAAGAATCCCATTACTAAAAGCACCCAAACAGAGGTTAGAAATGACCTGCCCGGGACAGAATAAACTGAATGGGAAATTCCTGAACTTGGAGGGATGTTAGATTCATGACCTCCGAGGTCCCACCCAATTATAAGTTGCTAGGATTCTGTTTAGTGCAACCACCAAATAAGGGTGGCTTCTCTAGAACCCACCGTGCCCTCTTCTCTCTGTTTCCAATACATTCTCTTTGTTCTTTTCCTCAGCACATTGACAAATATTTTCCTTCTTGTTGGAAGACTATTGAAAGTAATGAATTTAATCCCCAAAATGACCTACTTCCTTATTAAATTTATCTAATACTCTTGCCCCTTAGGAAATATCTAAACCTAGTGATGGAACCTAATGGTTCTCAAACTGGGTCATAATGAAACACTTATTATTAGTCACTTTGCTCTGTACAAAACCACAGAACTCTGATCTTTGAATATAAATATATTATTTTGTGTTATTATCAGATACGAACTTGCACTATGTTCTAATGAGAACGAATGCTAGGAAACAACTACGAGAATATTAAAAAGTTAACACAGTCTTGGGGAAAGTTTGATTGATCTATAATGATGGTACTCAGGATTAGTTTTCAACCCATTAGCTCAATCAATAAAGGTTCACCTCAGTTAACACACTTTTACAAGCCAACCAGTTGGTGATAGCCCTGAGGGTCAGCCAACCAGGCACTGGCTCACCCATAAATACATTTCAGAGTGCCAGCCAATCAACAAATAAATATGCTCCCATAGATGATGTCAGCCCACTTGAGTGTGGGAACCAATCCCCAAACTCCATTCTTCCCAAAATCAACAAGTCTACTTACTGGGTTCCTTGGTCTCAAACTGTATTTGTCTTTCAATTTGGTGCCAGAGACATCAGACCCAACACTC